TCCTTTAGTCCCAGCACTTGCAAGGGAGAGGCAGGTGGATCTCTGTGAGATCCAGGCCAGCCTGAAGCTAGTGGGAAACATTGTCTCCAAAAACAAAAACAACAGCAACAAAAGACTAGAAACCCAACTCTAACATTCCAACTAAAGCCATCGTAAATCAACAAACCTTGACCCCAAAGAGCCTATTGCAGTCCTGGCTACATTTACACATGGCCTGCCTCCCCCTTTAGAGACTCTGCCACCAGGCACTGTGTGCTGCAAGTGGAACCAACTTTGACCAACATCCTGTACAAGCAATTTCAAGGTCAGACCCCCAAACCAGCTCCTCTGTCTGTGTATCCCTATCCACAGAACCTCACACTGTAGCTGAGGTTGAATGCACTGCAAATGTCTATCAATAGCTGGATAGACAATGTGATCTCACAAGCCCATGAAATATTATTCAGTCTTAAACAGGAGGGTAATCCAGATGTAACTGGAATTCCAGAGTTTGTGCTGCCCATCACCACAGACAGTAATAAGCAGAAACAGGAACTGTATTTCTTAAGATTTATAATTTTTATTTTATATGTATAAGTGTTTGCTTGTATGTATGTATATATACTACATGTATGCAGGTGTCCATGGAGGCCAGAAGAGAGTGTCAGATCCCCTGGAACTGGAGTGATGGATGGTTGTTAGCCACTATGTGGGTTCTGATAACCAAATCCAGGTCCTCTGCAAGAGCAGCCAGTGCTCTTAATCACTGAGCCTTCTCTCCAGCCCCAGGAATTATATTTTCCAGCTATGCTTTATTCAGAGAGCCACCAATCTAGGAAGTCAGAGGACTAATGTCCCAAGAGATCTAACTTCCCTAGTCCATCTCCAGCTGGTGTACTTTATAGGGAATCATAGCAAAGAGAGCTGGGGAGATGGCTCAGTGAGTGAAACCAACATGAAGACCTGAGTGTGAATCCCCAACAACCACACAGAAGCCAGGTGTAGCCGGTGTGTCTGTAATCCGAGCACTGAGGGAGTGGGGTGTAGACAGATGGATCCTGGGGGCTCTCTGACTGGCCAGTCTAGCCAAAATGGCAAGCTTCAGTGAGAGACTTTGTCTCAAAATAAAAGGACCTAGAGCACCCTTCCCTTGAACTCTGTATGGCACCAAAGTCTCAATTCATTTTCATCTGCTATAATAAAATATTTGTGACTAGATAACTTTAAAGAATAGAGGTTTAAATCAGGCATGGGAGTTCATTCCTGTTATTCCAGAACTGGGGATACTAAAGAAGGAGGATTACTATGAGCTTGAGGGACAGCCTGGCCTGCATAGCAAGTGGGAGGATAGCCTTGTCTACATAGTGAGATCATAGATGTATGATTGATAGATAGATGATAGATAGACAGACAGATAGATAGATAGATAGATAGATAGATAGATAGATAGATAGATAGATAGATAGATAGATAGATAAAATGGAGAAGTAACTAAGGAGAGCATTTTCACATCAACCTCTGGCCTCCACTCATATTCACACAAGCAAACATGCACGCACACATATGCACACATGCATATACCACACACATAATTTTTTTTTTGGTCTTTTGAGACAGGGTCTTCCTGTAGCCCCAACTGTCCTAGAACTCACTATGTAGACCAGGCTGGCCTTGAACTCACAGAGATCCATCTGCCTCTGCCTCCCAATGCTGGGATTAAAGGCGTGTGCCACGATGCCCGGCCACACAATTTTAAAAAAAGGGACAAAGGCAGTCATCCATCCCAAAGTTTAGTCTTGACCCTCTAGTCATATTTTCTCCCCCCCCTCTCTCGGGTGGAGTTGCATATTCCCAAGACCACTGAGTCTCATCCCCCTAAGGTGCCATCTTTGTCATATATAGGTTAAAAGTACACTCAGAAGAACTACATATCGTTACAGTGTGTGTGCTGGGCTGTTTAGAATGTCCATGTGCAGATTCCTGTCTATGTTCTTATAACAGAAACACAAAGCGCCGCCCTCTGCCCCGAGTCACAGACACCTGCTACAACAGGACAAATCTTGATGACATTATGCTAAGAGAAATAAGCCAGTCACAAAAGGACTCTGTTTATATGAGGTGCCCAGAGCAATCAAAGAGACAGGAGGACAGTGATTTCCAGGGCTCAGAGCAAGGGGAAGGGAGTTAGTGAATGGGGACACAGCTTCAGGTTTGGAAGATCTTGAGACATAGTTCATGCCGACTTGAATGCTTCACTTAACACTACTCATCTGTATACTTAAGACTTTTTGGGGGGGTGGGGGGTTCAGACAGGGTCTCCCTGTAGCCCCAACTGACATGGAACTCGCTATATAGACCAAGTTGGCCTCAATCTCACAGAGATCCACCTGCCTCTGTCTCCTGAGTGCTAGAATTAAAGAGGTGTGCCACCATGCCCAGTTACATTGTTTTCTTGTTACTGTTTTTTTTAATATTTTATTATTTTAATTTTATATATATGAGTATATTGCCTACATTTATGTAAGTGCACCTGTGTCATGCAATGCCTGAGGTGGTCAGAAAAGAGCGTTGGATCCCCTGGAACTGGAGTTATGGATGACTGTTAGCCGCCATGTGGGTGCTAGGATCTGAACCTGAGTCCTCTGCAAGAACACCCAGTGCTATGAGCCACTGAGCCGTCTCTCCAGCCCCAGATATTTTTTATTTAACATTTTATTAAGTCTTTGAGAACTTTATACAATACATTTTGGTCATATGCACCCCATTTCACCCCAACTCCTCCCGGATCCACCCCCATCTCCTACCACCCCACAACTTTAATATCAACTCCAGTTTGTGCTGCTCACATATTCCAAGGTGTGGAGCTGACCAGTGAAGCATGTCTGACCTATCGGGAGCCACGCCCTTAAAGAAAACTGACCCTCCCTCCCCCAGAAGCCATCAGCTGTCCATAGGTCCTCAGTTAGAGGTGGGGGCTGGTGAACCCTCCCACTTCAGTCTGGGACCTTAACTGGCTTGATCTTGTGCAGATCTTGTGTAGGCCCCACAGTGGTTCAGTGGTCTTTTCATGTCCAGAACACAGTTTTGCTGAGGTCTTCCCTGACCTCTGACTCTTAGCTATTGTTTCTGAGTCAGGGTCTCCCTGATTAGCCCTCAAACTTACAGCCTCAGCCTCCCAAGGTCTAGAATTACAAACCCTGTTCTGGGAGTTTTGTTTGTTTACAATTTCAAGAGCCCTGTTTCCCCTCCTTCCTAGGCCCCCCTCCCTCAAAAGGTGTTACATCCTCAGGCCCAGAGAGTAAGCTATAGCCCTGGATCCTATAGGCAACCTAGTCTCCTAGGCCCTGATTAGATCACATGCTCCACCTCTGAACCAAACACTATGGTCAGGAGATGTGATTGACTGGTTGCTTAGCCCTACCCACAAAATTGAGAGAGGGAGATTGCCCAGGACCCGGGAGGGAGGCAGAGCGGGTCCTGCCTATCAGCTGGGACGTAGCCTCTGCCATCACTTGCAGTTGGATGGCCTGAGGTGTGTTCAGCCCATGTGTTCAATAAGCATCTATTGAACCGGTAGGAAAAGTCTAGGAAAACCCAGCACTGAGCAGAACACAGCCACATCCTGTTCTTGAATATAATTCAAAGTGGGTCAGCGTCACCAGGTGGTTCAGTTTCCCTGGATGCTTTTCTGCTTGTTGGCTCTAACAGCTCTCGGAGGATGCCAAGGATCTTCATACTAGGTCAGCAGGCCCCTGGACAGCAGACAGCCTTTCTCTGATGGAGACAGCCCAGCAGAGTCTCAGTAAGCTCTGGCAGTGGTGCTGTGTTTCAGAAGTCCCGTAGGCTCCCCACTATGAGCTCTGCCCTCTAGTGTTCAGAAAGAGAAATGTTAGCCCTGGAAACGTGGTTGTCACAAAGGTCACAAGAGGGCTTCCCACTTGGAAAGTGTGCTGGGTGTGTGTCCAGAGAGTTAAGGAGAGAGAAGAGAGAGAGAGAGAGAGAGAGAGAGAGAGAGAGAGAGGCAGACACAGAGACAGAGAGAGACAGAGAGAGAGACAGAGAGACAGAAAGACAGAAAGACAGAGAGAGAGAACAAAGTGAATGTGAAGGAAGGAGGTGAAAGACAGAGGGAGTGGAGGAAGAAGGGAAGGAGGAGAAAGGGAGGCCAGGGGATCTGGAGCTCTGCCCTGTCCAGTGCTCCCTGAGCCTGGGTGACTCCTCCAGGGGCCGCTGTGGGAATAGGAGAGCCCAGTGCAGCAGGCAACCGCGTCATCATTTAACTACAAGGCATGAGGGAAATGCCTCTCTAAGCATCACACGGCAGCTGCCCTCGCATTGCCTCTCCTGGGGGAAAGGATTCTGCCTGGCTCTCCACTGAGGCACCCACAGATACTTTCCTGGGGTCCCAGGCTGTACGGCCGCTCAGTATGTCTATGAAGCACCTGCCAGAATGAGGTGCAATGCAAGTCGAAGATAAAGGCCAATGACACAATCAGGGTCCCCACCCCCACCCCAGGGTTCTTGGCCTTGGGACCCATGGAGAGAACCAAGGTGTGTGCGGAGAGTCCTTGGAGCTGGCCTGCTTACCATTCCTTTCATGCACTGCCTGAGCACCCAGTATGTGCCTAGCATCTGCTCTGGGTGCAGCAGATTGAGGCAGGAGTACATGAGGGAAAAGGAAAGGCCTGGCCCTTAAGGACGGCATGCCAACAGCTCAGGGCTCAGCACCACGTGAATGGCTTGGGAGAAGTCACGCGGTCTTACTCAATCTCAGTGTTATCAGTGTCGAATGCGTTAATGGAGGAATGCATGGAGATTTCTCCACAGGTAAGCAGAGCTGTGACGGTGTCCTAGGGACCTATGACAGGGCCACCATCCCAAACTGGGGAGCATACAGGATGGTTTCTTGGGGGAAAGACTCACAGGCTGAGACTTGGCCTGCAACACAGTGCCTGGGACAGAGCAAAGCAGATGATTACAGCTGAATGCAACGTCTCCTGAGCCCCCTGTCTACCCCACAGGTCTCCTGCCCCTGGGCAAGGGGCCCAGCACCTTGGCCAAGGCAGCAGCCACCTCGGACCACACAGCAACCGTACCAGTCATCCATACCACCTCACATCCCCTTCCACCAGGGCATCCGGCCATCAACCATGCAAAGAAGCTGGTCCCAGAGTTTCCCCAGGAGCACCACGGTCCCACCTGCCTCCCAACAGCAGCCTATGAGTCCTAGTGGAAAGACGTTGTCTTTTGGGATGCACCCCAAGTCCCCAGTCATCAAGCAAGGTATGTGTCCGGGCTCTGGGGATGGCTTCCAGGATGTTTTTAAGCCATGAAGATAGGTTGGCCTGTTTTTTGGGTTTTTTTTTTTCTCTAATTCTAACAATGGAATATAGTTAATTTTATTACATATAGTTAATTCTAAAATCAAAACGGTGGGCTGTCAAAATGACTCAATAGGGAAAAGGCACTTGCCCACCAAGTCCAATGATCTGAGTTTAATTCCCAAGATCCACATGGTGGAAGAGAAGAACTGACTCTTATACGTTGTCCCCCGACACACACAAACACACACACACACACCACACACACACCACACACACCCCACCCACACCCCCCCCACCCCCCCCCCCCCCCCCCCCCCCCCCCCCCCCCCCCCCCCCCCCCCCCCCCCCCCCCCCCCCCCCCCCCCCCCCCCCCCCCCCCACCCCCCCCCCCACACACCCCACCCCCCACACGCACCCCCCACACACACACCACACACACACTACACACACATGCACACACACCACACACACCACACGCACCACACACACACACACCACACACCACACACACACCACACACACACTACACACACATGCACACACACCACACACGCACACACACACCATACACACACACCACACACGCACGCACACACCACACACACACACACCACACACACACCACACATACCACACACACACACCACACACCACACACACCACACACACCACACACACACACCACACACCACACACACACCACACACACACCACACACACACTACACACACATGCACACACACCACACACACCACACGCACCACACACACACACCACACACCACCCACACACCACACACACACCACACACACACTACACACACATGCACACACACCACACACACCACACGCACCACACACACACACCACACACCACCCACACACCACACACACACCACACACACACTACACACACATGCACACACACCACACACACCACACGCACCACACACACACACCACACACCACCCACACACCACACACACACCACACACACACTACACACACATGCACACACACCACACACACCACACGCACCACACACACACACCACACACCACCCACACACCACACACACACCACACACACACTACACACACATGCACACACACCACACACACCACACGCACCACACACACACACCACACACCACCCACACACCACACACACACCACACACACACTACACACACATGCACACACACCACACACACCACACGCACCACACACACACACCACACACCACCCACACACCACACACACACCACACACACACTACACACACATGCACACACACCACACACACCACACGCACCACACACACACACCACACACCACCCACACACCACACACACACCACACACACACTACACACACATGCACACACACCACACACACCACACGCACCACACACACACACCACACACCACCCACACACCACACACACACCACACACACACTACACACACATGCACACACACCACACACGCACACACACACCACACACGCACGCACACACCACACACGCACACACCACACACACACCACACACACGTTACATTAAAATGCAAAGAATTAATTTAAAATATTTATTTTTGTGTATGCATATGTGGTACCTGTGTGAGCTTATGTGCACCACATACATGCAGGTGCCCATGGATGCCAGAAGAGGGCATTGGATCGCATGGCTGGAGTTACATGTTGTTGTGAACCACCTGGTGTTGGGAACCCGGCTTCTCTGCCAGAATAGCACATGCTCTTAACTGCTGAGCCATCTCTCCAGTCCCTTTTTTAATTTTTAAAAAATGGGGAAAGGCTGGGGGTGTTGCTCAGTAGAGTACTAGCCTAGCATGCACCATGTCTGGGGTTTGATCCCCAGCACTGCATAACCCAGGAGTGGTGGCTCACACCTATAATCCCAGCACTGGGGTGGTGGAGCCAGGAGGACTGGAAACCTAAGGTTGTTCCATGGCTACCTAGAGAGTGTGAGGCCGCTCCAGGATGCTTGAGACTCTGTTTCAAAAAAACCAAAAGTAACAAATAATAACAATAATAAATAAACTAAAATCATCCCCTTGGGGTTAGGAGGTCAGATTGTATGGCAGGCCAATGCCCAGACAGACTCCAGCTGAACCAAAAACTTAAATGTAGATAGAAACTGAACAAGACTTAGAGGAAATGCAGGTCAACCTGGAAGAAAAAGAATACATGATATCGCTAGGCGTGGTGGTGCCCGCCTTTAGTCCCAGCACTCAGAAGGCAGAGGCAGGCGGATCTCTGTGAGTTCAAGGCCAGCCTGGTCTACAGAGTGAGTTCTGGGCCAGCTGAGGCTATAGGAAGACCCTGCCTCAAAAAAATAAAAGAAAGGAAGTAAACAAACAAACAAACAAACAAACAGGGGCTAGAGAGATGACTCAGCAGTTAAGAGGACTGGCCCTTGCAAAGGACCTGAGTTCAATTCCCAGAACCCACATGGCAGCTAACAACCATCTGTAAAGAAAGAAAGAAAGAAAGAAAGAAAGAAAGAAAGAAAAGAAAAGAAAAGAAAAAAGAAAAGAAAAGAAAAGAAAAGAAAAATTCCTGTCCTCTTTGGAAGAATTCTGTCTTGTCAGCTTGTTTTACTACGTGTGTAAAAAGTACATGAAGCTCAGTGCATTAGAAAGTTGGACCCAGAGGGACTGGGGAGACGGCTCCGTCAGTAAAGTGCTTGCCTCGTAAACATGACATGAGGATCTGAGTTTGATCTCCCAGAGCCCATGTTAAAAAAAAAAAAAAAAAAAAAAAAAAAAAAAGGCTGGTGGGGGCAGAGACAGGCAGGTCCCAGGGGCTCACCAGTAAGCCAGCCTAGTCTACCTGGGGAGTCCCAACCCAGGAAGAAACTGTCTCAAAACAAACAACAACAAATCCCAAGGTGGACAGTGCTTGAGGAAGGGCAGCCAAGGTTGACCTCTGACCTCACATGCACATGCGTACACAGACACGCACCTCCATCCACACGTACACTTACAGGAACACACACACAAAGCAAAGAAGGATCAGGAATGTTCTGTGAGCCTGGCCTGTTCCAGTACCTGGTGAACCTGGTGGGAGTCCAGACCCTCCCCCCTTCTCCCTGTGTCCCAGGATACACCAAGACCTGTGCCAGCCACTCAGTGTTCAAAGCTGTGCCTCTCCCGGTCCCCAAGGTCATCACCTGTGTCCAATTGAGCAGTTCTGGATCAACTAACATGTGAGACCTGGGGGAAGATCATTGGCTCTAAAATGTAGAAAAATACAGAATCCCAATGAGTAAGCAACCTCAAATGGGTGGTGAGGACTTTCTTAATTGCTAATATTAAGATTCACAAATATTGGGACTGGAGAGATAGCTCAGTGGTTTAAGAGCCCTGGCTATCCTTGCAGAGGACCTGGGTTCAATTCTCAGCATCCACATGGTGGTTAACAACTGTCCATAACTCCAGTTCCAGGGGAAATTGACACCCTCTTCTGACCCCCATGGGCATTGCATGACATGGGTGCACTTCCACACATGCAGGCAATACACTGATACTCATTAAAAAATAAAAATAAAATACTAAAAAAGATTCATGGAAATTTCATTACATTTCAAAACAATTGGTTCAGTGCCTCACTTCACAGGACTACAAGCCTGTGTGAGGACTGGCCGGTCTTTGCAGTCGGAAGGGAATTTAAAATGTACCTCTCATAGCCGTGCCAACCTCAAAGGCAGAATTACAGAAATCTCTTCACAAGTTTCTATGTCAAAAATAAATATTATTCCCTGTTGATGCTCACCTGCTGGGAATTTCAAGAATAATACTGCAGAAACTTGTAATGAGGGGGTGGCGTGGGGATAAGGGAAAAAATAAGGACTGATTCAACATCTGTCAGTTGGATCCTGGCTAAATATGTTTTGGTACGCTTGTGCAATGGGCTGTGAATAAGTTTGCTGTAGTTGTGCACAGGGCTATCGATGTTTGGTGCAGTTGTGAAACGAGCTGTAACACTACGGGTAATAAGAATGTTGTACAGATATGAACACTCACATGCTAGGGTTACTTTGATCCACCATCAATAAAATGGCTAACATAGTACTAAATGCTTTACCTAGGCTGTGCAAACTTTTTCTATAAAGAGCCCATATAGAAGGGGAAAAAAGGAACAAAAATGTTTTCTCCTCTCTACTCTCACAACATTGCTCACCAAAATGTGTGGGTGTGCCCCCATCCACTGTGTCGGCTTTCTGTACTGTGACAAATTACCTAAGACAGGAAACTGAAAAAGAAGAAAAGTTTCTCTTGGCTCATGGTTTTAGAGGCTCAGTCCTTGGTTCTTGGCTCCATTGCTTTAGGCATATGGTAGGACAGCATCTCAGTGGCTGGGATTGGGGGCGGGGTGCAAAGCTGCCCACATCCTGGCACCCAGAAAGCAGAGAGAGAGAAAGAGGAAGGAACCAGAAACCAGTTTCCCCTTCCTGGGCATGCCCCTGGTGACTAACTTCCTTCCCCCCAGCTCCCACTCTGGAAATTTCCACCACTTCCCTCACAGAACCACAGACTGGGGCTTCATTACACGAGCCTTTGACAGACATTCAAGATCCAAATCATAGCCCCCAGCACCAACTGGTGGCCTGTGACTCAGTGTCCCAACACTGTCTATCCAGAGTGAGCACCAGACCCCATGGGTGGAGGGCTCCTCTGTCCCCCAAGTCTCTCCACACAAGCTCCCTGCAAATGCCAGTCATGAGGCCCACTTCAGGCAGTTTCAACTAACCCGCTGTGAACTGGGGTTCCCACTAGCTTCTCAGATCTGATCATTTGTGGGAGTGGCACTAGAGTTCAGAGGAACACTGCACCATTGCAGACTTATTACAAGGAATCTTTAAAGTTTGTTACCATACATTCATTTAGATTAGTGTGTGTGCGTGCGTACACGTGTGTGTGTGTGTGTGTGTGTGTGTGTGTGTGTACACTCACGTGCTCATGTTAGAGAACAACTTCCTGGAGTTGGTTCTCTCATTTCACTACATGGGTCCCAGGGATCAAACACACTGTCAGACTTGGCAGTGAGCGCCTTTACCTATTAAGCGTCTCACCGGCCCCATATTGCAAGGAATATTTTAAAGACACAAATGCACAGCCAGATGGAGGGGTCCACAGGACAACCTCTGAAGGATATTGGGTTTCTGTGCCCTGTCTGGGTGTCCTACCCTCCAGGCACCTCCACTTGCTGGGTGGCCTGGAAGCCCCCAAACCCAAACTCTAGGGAACCTGTGGCCACTTTACTGCACATGCGTAGGAGATGAAATCGCTGGCCATCACTGATCAATTCAAACCACAGCCTTTTTCCCTACCCAGGGGCCCTAGCCATCACTAAGCTCTCTGGAGATTCTGAGAACTTCTTGAGTTATGTGTCAGGAAAGAGGGTAAAGAATATTTATTTGTATGGGGTTGGGATGCTTGAAATTGAATCCAGGGCTTTGCACATTGTGCTGGATAGCTTTAGTGTCAACTTGACACACCTGGGTTGAGGGAGCCTCAGTCGGGAAATTGCCTCTATTGGACTGGCCTGTGGCATGTCTGAGGGGCATCTTCTTGATGAGTGATGTGGGAGGGCCCAGCCCACTGTGGGTGGTACCACCCCTGGGCAGGTGGGCCTGTGTTGCATAAGAAAGCAGGCTGAGCAGGGGCCAAGGGAGCAAGCCAGTAAGCAGCGTTCCTCCATGGCCTATGCTCCAGCTCCCGCTTCCAGGTTCCTGCCCTGAGTTCCTACCTTGGGCTCCCTGATGAACTGTGACCTGGGAGATGTAAGCTGAATAAACCCTTTCCTCCCCAAGTTGGTAATGGTCAGAGTGTTTTGTCACAGCAATGAAGAAACAGACTAAGACACACATGCTAGGCAAGGGCTCTACCACTGAGCTTCATCCCCAGTCCTCTATTACTTTCTTAAAAATTTGAGACAAGGTCTCACTAAGTTTCCTAGGCTGGCCTTGAACTCACTATGCACTCCAGGATGGCCTTGAATTTATGGTCTTCCTGTCTTGGCCCCTTGAGTAGCTGGGATTACAGGCCCAGCTAAGACCCACTATCTATTATGTCACAATGTCATAGATACAGATGACAAATAGGTTTTGTGGGTCACATGGCCTATGTTGAAAGTATTCAGTTCTGTCTTTGTAACACAAAAAGCAGTCATAGGGGGTCTATGAATGAATGATTACAGTTGTGTTCCAATAAAACTTTATTTTTTAAAAAGCATTATTTGGGGCTGGAGAGATGGCTCAGTGGTTGAGAACACTGGTTGTTCTTGCAGAAGACCCGGGTTCAAATCCCAGCACCCACACGGCAACTAACAACTGTCCATAACTCCAGTCCCAGGGCATCCACCAGCCTCTTCTGACCTCCTCGGGCATTGTACAACACAGGTACACTTACCTACATGCAGGCAATACACACATACACATGAAATTAAAAAAAAATTTTTTAAGTTTTTTTTTAAAGCATTATCTGTAATTTTAGCACTCAGGAGGCTCAGGCAGGAGGCTAGCCTGGGCTATACATTGAGTAACAGGGTTAAGATTAGCTCCCCCTGTTTTACACTGTATTTCACTTAATCTCACAACAGCTCTCTGTAACAGGCACTCAGCAGATCCTTGTGCAGCACAGAAGGGAGATGCCTCAGTGTCTGACAGAACTTTTAGTGCTGAGGAGTGAGTGGATCCTCCCATGAGGTCCCTCCCTGGTAACGTCATAGCTTCTCCGGGTACACACTGCTGTGTACTTTTGTTTATTTCAATTTTTAATTTTAATATTTTTTTCCTTTTTAATGAATTTTTGCAATTTATTTTGGTCTTTTTTGAGACAGGGTCTCCCTGTAGCCCCAGCTGGCCTAGAACTCAATATGTAGACCAGGCTGGCCTTGAACTCACAGAGATCACCTGCCTCTGCCTCCCACGTGCTGGGATTAAAGGCATGTACCATCACACCCGGCAATTTTTGCAAATTTTATACAATATATTTTAATCATATTTAGATCCCCTCCCCTCTCTGCACCTCCCCCGAACCCCTCACCAGATTTCCTGTACTCTATTATATATTAAGGGCTATAGAGTCAGATTTGTGTCCCCAGTTACCCCTTGGTTTGGGTTCATCCAATGGAGCCTGGTTAAACTACCAAGAGCCACACACTGACTGACTCCCCCTCCCAGCGGCCACTGATTTCCAATAGCTCCTCAGGTAGGGTTGGGGTTTTTACCCACTTCCCCATGTCTGTGCTGGGATTTTGTCTGGTTGGAGCTTGCGTGGGACTAATGCGTGCTGTCACCTTGGCTGTGAGTTCATATGAGGAACTTTCCAGATGTCTGGATAACTCTGTTTCATTGTCATCATCCACCACCTCTGGCTCTTTCCCCCAACCTCTTCTGCAATGATCCCTGAGCCTTCATAGGCAGAGGTTTGATGTAGGTGTTCAATCACAGATAATCACTCTGCGGTCTCTTTCTCTCTGCACATTGGTCAGTTGTGGGCTTCTGTGTTCGTCACCATCTGCTGGATAAGGAAGAGTCTCTGGGGAGAGTTGAGAGATGCTTTAATCAAGGCAGGTCTGGGAGAGCTTGCAGCTACTTTGTACTTTTAAAGTCAGAGATGGGGCTGGAGAGATGGTTCGGGTTCAGCAGGTAAAGTGCCTGCTGTCCAAGCATAAGGACCTGAGTTCAGATCCCCGAGCCCACGTGAAAGCCGGGTGTGGAAGCACATCTGGACTCCAGTGCGGGGGAAATGGAGACAGTTGGATCCCAGAGTCTTGTTTGCCGTATACTCTAGCCCAGTGAGCTTGACATTCAGTGAGAGACCCCATCTCAAAAAAATAAGACAGAGCAATAGATAAAGACCTCAGATGCTGACCTCTGGCCGCCTCACGCACATGCACGCACACTCAAGCACACACACAAATAAAAATAATAAAGTCAGAGACCTTGTAAATGTGAGAACTAGGCATGGTGGCTCAGCTTGCTGTGATCTCAGCACTCAGGAGGCCGAGGCAGGACGGTTTCAGAGAGTTTGAAGCCAGCCTGGGCTACCTGGTGAGTTTCAAAGCAGCCTAAGCTGTATAAATGAAACCCTTTCTCACAAAGCAAAAACAAGCAAAAAGTGATGTAACCCTCAAGGAAAACCATGTGAAGAAAGGGCTTGGCATGCCTCTCGCTGACTTGTATTCTATGTTGATCTCATGTAGTTTGGGCCAGTGCTGTGGAACTGTCCGAACATTGTGTGGCAGAGGGACTTGCTGGGGCAGTACCTCCCACGGAGATCTATGTGGACCAGGACCTGGACCAGCAGGACAAGGTGAGGAGGGGTCTGGTCTGGGGCTGCAGCATCCAGTGGCCACTGGGGGTGGGAGCGGCTTGCTGTTGCCTCTTCTCTGTGCCCCATGTCCAAGAAACCACATTTCATTTAATAGAAAATTGTGTTCCGAATAATAGCATCTCCACAACCATTTTACTGAGCACCTACCACAAGCTAGGCTGTCCTCTGAACTTGACATTCATTAACTCATAGTAGCCTTTGAGACCAATTTTATTACCTTTACTTTGCTGCTAGGGAACTAGCTTAGAGAGGTTGAGTAACTTGCCCAAGTCTACACAGTGTTGAGAAGAAGAGCTGGATTCACACCCAGGTCTGGCTAACTTGTAAGCTGGGACTTCCCTCACACACTCAGCTAATCCCAAGTGATAGCAAAACGAGCGTGGAGAACACATTCCCTAGAGCTGGAACCCAAATGGAAGTCAGAGGAGGTGACCCAAGCAACCTGTTTGATTTCTTCCCACTTAGCCACAGCTTGAAAAGTGTCCTTAAAGAGCAGATTCAACTCAGTTGGCAGAGTAATCACCTAGCATGCACGAGGTCCTGGCCAGTCCCAGCACTGCATAAGCCAGGTGTGGTGGTAGAGCATGCTTGTAATCCTAGCACTCAGGAGGAGGATGTAAGAGGATTAGAAGTTCAAGGTCATCCTAGAATACATAGTGAATTCAAGGCCAACCTGAGCTACCCGAGGCCCTATCAAAAGAATAGTCCAACAATACTTTGCTTTCCTTACAGACCAGTGCCTCAGCTGAAGCAGTACTGGCCTGTGGGGAACAGGAACAGTGGGTTCTTCTGACACTTGAGATGATAGGCCTGGAACTCTCCAGCTGGAGGCAGAAGCCAGTTCTGAGTCCAGCATCCTGAGGCCAGACTGTGAGGCGAGAAACCACCCTGCAGACGCTGTCCCTTGTCCATCCCTCTGCAACAAGCTGCCCCAAAAATCTAGTGGCCACAAAGCAGCTGTCTATCACCATTAGAAATAAAATCCAAGGTCCAAGGACCCCATCAATACCACAGAAAGAACACTCAGTGTCCTAGTTTGTTTCTCCATTGCTGTGACAAAACACTCTGATTAATGCCAACTTGGGGAGGAAAGGGTTTATTTGACTTACCTCTCCCAGGTCACAGTTCATTAGGGAGCCCAAGGTAGGAACTCAGGGCAGGAACCTGGAGGCAGGAGCTGGAGCAGAGGCCATGAAAGAACGATGCTTACTGGCTTGCTCCCCTGGCCCCTGCTCGGCCTGCTTTCTTATGCAACACAGGCCCACCTGCCCAGGGGTGGCACCACCCACAGTGGGCTGGGCCCTCCCACATCACTCATCAATCAAGAAGATGCCCACAGACATGGCTACAAGCCAGTCGAATGGAGGCAGTTCCCCAATGGAAGCTCCCTCAACCGAGGTATGCCAAGTTGACAGCAAAGCTATCCAGCACATTCGGACAAAACAAAAGTAGCTCAGCAAGGTAGATTTTTACTTTTGCAAAGGGTGACCTGTGTGGTCAGTCAGATCCAGCAAGTACACACAGGACCCAGAAGCTTGGGAGGCTTTTATCCCTAACACAAGAGAACTGTGACTTTTCCCCATTGGCTGGGGTCCGACTTCACAGTCTTTCCCAGTTGGCTAGTTTAAAAGAATCAGCAAGTATGCTGGATAGCTTTAGTGTCAACTTGACACACCTGGGTTGAGGGAGCCTCAATTGGGGAATTGCCTCTATTGGACTGGCCTATGGCCATGTCCATGGGGCGCCTTCTTGATTGTTGAATGATGTGGGAGGGCCCAGCCCACTGTGGGTGGTGGCCACCCCTGGGCAGTTGGGCCTGTGTTGGATAAGAAAGCAGGCTGAGCAGGGGTCAGGGGAGCAAGTCAGTAAGCAGTGTTCCTCCATGGCCTCTGCTTCAGCTCCTGCCTCCAGGTTCCTACCCTGAGTTCCTACCTTGGGCTCCCTGGGAGATGTGACCTGGGAGATGTAAGCTGAATAAACCCTTTCCTCCCCAAGTTGGCATTAATCAGAGTGTTTTGTCACAGCAATGGAGAAACAAACTAGGACAGCATGAAAGGAGAAACATTCCAGCACCCCAGGCCATCAGGCTCAGGAACCAGCAGGGCCTTTCCTTAAACAAAGCTTACCAGGGTGCAGAATGATTAAGAGATTAGAATTCCTTGTCATAAACCAAGTTTCAAGTTTACAGAGTTTGAAAAAAAAGACTACTATCTAATGTTTCTTATAATCACTCCCCTGGCTCCCATGGCTTGCCTTGCAAAATGGCCCTCTGCCCATGGCTAGCCACTCAAGACAGCTGCACTCAATTTGGGGGCACAGTGAGGCTGATGGTCTCAGGGGGTAGCACCAGGCACCAAAGGTCTGAGTCCTCAGCCCAATGCAGGGGATGTTGAGCCCCCCTGCTGCGTGCTGTCTCTCCTCCGGGGCCTCTTTCCAACTAAGTGTCTCCTGGGTTCCCAGAGAGCAAGGACAGAGGCCATGCAGTGTCCCGACAATTTGGTCAGAGATGAGTTCACATCTCTTCCACTGCCCTTTGTCGAAGTGAGTCACAGGACTGACTGGGACTCAGTAGGCAAGAGAAATAGATGCCACTCGATGAAGAAGCCGTAAAGTATTTGTCATCGTGTTTAATCCACCATGGTTGTTAAACTGGAAATAAAATGCAAACATAATTTTTGCTATCTGTGAGTCAATAACACATGATTTGTCAGGACCCCTTCAAGGACACCTGACAATAGGCAAGCAGGTAGGGATGTGTATTAGCTAATCTTATTGTACAACTTAAAGGCCCACTAGCTTCAGGCATGGCTGGATCCAGGAGCTTGAATGATGTCATCTGAATACTCTCTACTGCCAATTCTCCTCTTTGCTCCCCCTTGCAATTTGGTGTTCTCTAGCAAGCTGGCTTCTTATACTGGAAAAAGATAGCAAGACCCTTCATCTTGGAACCCATACACAGACTCTCTGAGAACACTTGGTTGACCAGCCTGGGTTACAAGGGCATGGGGAGGAGGGGCAGGAAGAGCAAGGTATTTGATTGACAGTCACTCCTACCAAGACACATGAAAGGAAGGAGCCTCTCCCTCAAGGAGGGTCTGGGGTCCTTACCAGAAAGACAGATGTCATTGCTGAACACCATACCCAAAGGCAGAAGTTGGCACACAGTAAGTGCCCAGTAAGTGCTTGTTACATGAATAATGACCAGTCATCTGCTGGCATAGACCCCAAGTGGCTTGTTTAGTTGCACCGTAAGTGTTCACAAGGACCCAAAGAAAGCGGCTTTCTAAGCCCCTTTCTAGCAGCTGGTGATGCCAGCAGGCTCCCTCATGACTTCAACCCCAACTTCCCCCCAGGCATGGAGCTAGAAGTCCATGGAGCTCACTCAAGGCTCCCAAGTCACCAAGTTGATTTGGAAACTGACCTTTTAACAAATGAAAAGTGATCAGGAGCTGGGGAGATGTCTCAGTGGGTAAAGTGCTTGCCAAGAGAGAGGAGGACCTGGATTCAGATACTCAGAACCAGAGGAAAAGCCGGGCACAGCATGCATGCCAGTGATCCCAGTGCTGGGGACTTAGGGGCAGAGACAAGCAGATCTCTGAAACTCTCTGGCCGGTCTGTCTAGCAAATCAGTGAGCTCCAGATTCAGTAAGGGACCCTGCCTCAAAAGAAGAACCTGCCTCAAGTGAAGAGAGATAGAGGAAGACACCTGATACTGACTTCTGACCTCCAGATGCATGCGTACACATGCATACACCCACACAAACATGTACATACACCACACACAAAAGGAAGGAAGGAAGGAAGGAAGGAAGGGAGGAAGGAGGGAAGGAAGGAGGGGTTGCGGGTTCTCCTCAGGCCAGCTGTGAAGACCCTGACCTGGATCGGGTCCCCTAACGATTGGGGGGGGCAAGAGGCTTAGAGTCATGACACACAGACCCCGGGAGTCGGGTAGAAGCAAGCACTAGACAAGGTGCTGCAGGCTCGTTTAATGCAGGAGGGGCAGGCCTTATATTTCCCTTTTCTCCACCCCCAAGTCCCTTTAGTCAGCGTATTGTTTTCTGATTGGTCTGCACCATGCAGTCTGTCAGCAGTCACTGGGCTCCCAAGCAGGGTATGAAGGTGTGGGCTCCTTTTGGCAGGCTATTTGAGGACCAAGAAGTGAAGTGAATTCTCGCTGAATCCCAGGGCTCTGGGTCCGCGCCATCTTTGGAGGCTTCCTGCTACATTTCCACCGTTTTTCTTTAAAAATGACTGTCCAGCGAGAGCCTGTAGGCAGCTCCGCCTTGGGATGACCCCAGGATCCTGGACTGTGCCTGTCTTAGGTTGTCCTATTCTGGCATGAACCTTACCCATCATTAAGGCATAGGCATACACGTCCATGTCCTGGCTTAGGTTGATTCAGCCCAACAGGAGCTTACCTGTCATTGGCTACCAGCCCTCCAAGGAGTATTGTCCCAGGGGATCAATCGAGGTGGGGAATTATCTGTAGGAGGCCTCGTACATTTGTGCAAGCCAAGTCTGTCAGCTGCATAGGGTGGGTTGAAATCATCTTCGTGTAGTGCTCTGAGGACCTGATACACTGAGCGATTGAATTTTTTCTGACTGTGGGAATGAAGAACAAGGCATTTAAGAAGTAGAAGGAAAAGAATAATTATGCCTGTCAGGAGTAGGTAAGTGACGATCCAAGACGGGTCAAACAGTGCTTTTAGATTAGAGGCACTGCCAGCATAATCTTGGACAGTCAGGTTGAACAGCCCAATGCATGAGGATACGTTGTTGGTAGTGAAGCATAGAGAGTTATTTAGGGGCCAGGAGCCATTGAGTGATTCCCAGGAAGTAACTGGGTCCATGGTGGGGAGGCCAAGCATAGAATTAGTTGAATAGAGGGTGGGGTAGGCTGGGGAGTGAAGTGATAAGGGCAAGAGTATAGGCAGGAAGGGGACCAAAGGCCCGAGATCATGGGCCGTGGCAGGGGCAGG